AGGGTCTAGAACAGATGATCTTGGTTCTGTTCCTACTGTTGAGATTTAAGATCTTTGAAATTAACCCCATTCACCCTTGTTTTTGTACAGGTCCCACTTCCATCCGGGGGCTTCCTAACCCCAAAGGGATTGCAAACTCTTGGTCTTAGTGGCTTAGGATCCAGTGCTGGTTTTGAGCGCTTACATTACATGTAAGGTTTCATGAATATGAATCTAGATTTTAATATGTTACAATTTAGTCATTCTTTAAGTGATTTTAATTTCACTTCAACCCATAGGTTTGAGAGGGCTTGGGATCCTATAATAGTTCCAGGAGCACGAAAGGAAATTAGTTATTACTTCTTGGATGCTGTAAGAAAATAACTGCTTTTTCTTGATATCGAATCTAAGGTTTTGAATATTCCTGGTATAAAGTTAAAAACCTTAAACCATTCCATGTTTGCAGTTTGACAAGTGGTCTTCTTTTGATACAAATCCACTTTTTGCTCTTCTTCATGAGTCCATATACTGTCAGGTAATTGCTTTAATCTAGTTAATTTACAGAAGTTTATACTATATATTCTTAAATATTTATATAGTTTTCATTAGCTTATTAGTTCATCTAGTTATGTAGTTATTTATTTGTTGAAGGGTGCTTCATCACGGTGGTCTGCTCATAGAATAAGGGCTGAAGATGAGGGCAAATTTGATGCAGTCCGGGCTGCAAAAGAAGGTCGTCCCGTACTTTTCACAGGAGAGGTAGGCATTTGTTCCAACCTTCTCTTTCAAAATGACAAAAAGACATAATGTTGACATTTAGTTCTATGAGTGACGGGTAGTTGATGATGTATTTAGATATTAATTCATTTTATACATCTCATGGATAGAAATAATTGACAGCGTATGAGATGTAGAATACCTTGGGGAGTTATAAACATTAATCGATGATATCTAGCTGTGCATAAATTTATGATTTAATTGCATGATGGTATAAAAGCTGTCTAGCTGTAGACCCTTGGACCAGTCTATGGGTTGACTGATGTCCATCGGGAAGCAGTAGATTCACAACTGTGTAGCATACAGGGCAAGTGTCTTGATGAAAATTGTAGGAGCTTTCCGCCAGCATGTTGTTACTTGCAGCTTTGAAAAGTACTTTACACACAAATGTTGGGCTTTTTGCTCCTGCAGATGATCTTCCCATGGATGTTCGATGAGATTCATGCCTTAAGGAAATTCAAAGGTGCTTCTCATGTATTGGCTGAGAAGAAGGATTGGCCTCCCCTATATAACATCGATGCACTAAAAAATAACAAGGTGTGCTACCTTTATATGAAGTTAATCTACTTGAATAGCATCTCACCATAAGAATTTTACATGGGGAAGGAGACCTAAACTTTCTCGCAGCCTGTGATGTTTTCCATTTGTACCAAACCCTTGACGTGAATTATCAGCAGTTTCGCCCATAAGTGTGTAAATAATTAAATTTATTTCTGTCAATGTTGACAGGTACCTGTTGCTGCTGCTGTTTACTACGAAGATATGTATGTCAACTTCAAGCTGGCCATGGAAACTGCTTCGCAGATAGCAGGGATTCGGTTGTGGATAACCAACGAATTCATGCATTCTGGTCTACGCGATGCAGGGAGCCAGGTTTTTGATCATTTGATGGGAATGCTAGATGGAAAGAAGCCTTTGTTCTGATTTCCATGGCAGTTCCTGCACTAAATCTCTGTAGTTTGTACTTTTTTGGGTCAAATGTGTGGTCTGGAGTTGATTCAACTTATTTACTTGATACTTTGGCCTCGTTTGGTATGGATGTTTGGGTTAGACATTACAGAAACTTCTTTCTTCTAATCCTACTATTTTGGGGAGGACTATTTTGGGGAGGATTAGAATTGATAAACTTTTCATTTCTTTCCTTCTCCCTTTAATCCTCCATCTCCTACCGCACAATTTTTTTTATTGCTTCCTTCAACGTACCTTAAAAATAATGTCTTACTCATTTTGATCCGATCCTCTACCAAACAAAACATTTATAATGGTGCCTTAGTTGAGGCAAGGAGCTTCTCTATATGTTGAAGTTCAATTTGAGGCTTGTATTATTGGTTTAGAGACTTTCTTTACAATGTTCTTTTCTAAGCAAAATTTGATTTTCTATAAAATTAAGCGAATGTGTACTGTTAATTACTCAATGCACACGCAAATGTGAGTTAAGTTAGTTGACTACTATAATAATACAAGTTCTAATTCTCCTCTTTCTTAGAGCTGTTTAGAATAGTCTTGAATATATAATTAGGGATGTGTTATTTGCACACTTTTGTTAACTTCTCACACACTCTCTTAATTTGCAGTCGTCGGATCAAATGAATTAAAGAATATCAAATGACAGAAATTAAGAGGAGATATGTGAGAAGTAAAAAGAAATGTGTGAATAGCATATCCTTAAAATTAACACTTTTAAGGCCCGTTGTTTTTTAACTATATCATATCATTGTGATATAGGAACTATATAACACAATATTGGAAGTGCTTTTATAATTAAATCACCAAAATGCCTCTGACCGTGTTTCTCAGGAAAAGTTAAAAAGTGCTTTGGTGCTGAAAAATGCAAAAGATGCACATGTTCAAGTGTTTAAGGAAATACTAAGTGTTTTTCAAGAAAGCACTTACATTTTTGTTAAATTTTTTGAAGTAATAAAGCGTTGATATTAAAAGCGGTTTCAAAGAGAAATTCTTTCTAAATAAGCATTTTCAGACGGACTAATAAAGCTATAAAAGTATTGTATGAAAAGTTAATAATCGAAGCTATGCATAATTTATTAAGCATCATTTACACTTTTTACCCACTCTTATTGGTAGTCTATAAAAAATATTGAGAAAACAACTCTATGTAAAGTTATAAATTGTATACTCAGGGTGCGTTTGTTTGGCCTCGTTAAATGGGATTGGACTGGACTGGACTACGGTCCCATGTTTGATAGGTGCTGGGACTAAGTTAAGTGGGACCAAAGGGGACTCGTGTGGACTAGAGGCCTCCTTAAAGGTTCTTAGCGAGGCCCTTCCCAAACCATGGGACTTGCTAAGACCGGCTTCTTCCTCCTCCCTGCGAGCCCCTCTGTGAGTTCTGGGCTTCTTAATTTTGGATTTCGATGGGATTTAATTAAGATTTGTAGACTATCCCTATCAAGCTGCTTCGCTTCGCCAGGGTCATCATCCTCTAAAATCTCGAATCTCATATTTCCCACCACCAACATCAACCATAAAAAATCCCCCATCTCATATTTCCCACCACCAACCATCACCCGCAAAAAATCCCCAATCTCATATTTCTTGCCGCCACCACCGCCATGGACGAGCCATCTGAGCAACTCCAGAACCTCAAGTCGCTGAATTCTCTACTACTCAAGGAAACCAAGGACCGCCAGCAACAGGTGGAGTCGCTGGTGCAGGGCAAGGCATATTTGGAGTCTGAGTTGTTGGTTCCGCCGTGGATATTGAATCGCTTATGAGCGAGTTGAGTGAGTAGAGCAAGAAAAATGTTGGGTTAGAGTTGGAGAAGAGTGTTTGTGGTGTTTTTGTTTTGACCCAGATGGAGCAAATGATGTGAGATAAAGTTTGAGATTGAGAGGGCAATGAGTAGAGAGATGGTGAAATTGTGAAGTTAATGAAGGAAGTGGAGCAGCTTGCTGGTGGACTCGAGATCGAGAAGGGAAGCTGAGAGAGAGATTATGTGAAGAAATTAATAATAAATTAATTTCGACAATAAACTACAATATTATTTTCATTATCCTACTTGTTAATCCTACACTGCACCAAACGCTTCACTAAGTTAGTCCAGCTTAGTCTAGTCTAAGCCAGTCTAGCTTAGTCCCTGAAGCTAATCCAGTCCAAGACAGTCCGGAGTAACAAACGCCTCCTTAGTTGATTCGTATGTCAATCTATTAGGGGACATTTGATTGACCGGACTAGTACTGAATGGGGTTATTCAACACTAAGATCATCTTTAACCAATGTATAAGATTAATTGATAGCTGGACAAGCTAAGATTAACCAATGTATAGGATTAATTGATATAACTAGACAAGCTGAGATTATTACATTCTTTATGTGGACTTATTCTAGACAATTTAAAAGACACGCCGAAATAGAAACATTCAAACCTAATCAAACCAATCTAAGTCAATCCTATGTATCAAACGTGCCCCATCATCAAATCAAACCCTGAACCCTTCTTCTGAACCTATTTTGTAGGTGGATTTTGCGAACTCCTTGCAAAGAAGATCATTTGATATTTGGAGTTTCAGGGAAGGTAGGTGGGTCTTGGAGAGTTGCAGTGGGTTGTCCTAACCTATTCTATCCAAAATATAAGTTCTATCCTATCCAAACCACCAAATGAGGCATATTAGGGTGGCGAGGTAACCTTAACTTTGGTAGGAAGTGGTTGTCAATCTCTTCTTTCATACACACATCTTCAATGTACACATAACTTATTTGCTTTAAGAAAGTATCAATAGAGAGATAAAAGACAAGCGGGAGCCCTGTCACAATGCTTGTGGGTCACACAGAAGAGGATGGCGTCGGCAACAGACAGACGATACTTGGTCCAAATCTTTTTGCTTGCCTTGGTTGGTAAACAGTATCTAGTCAAACTTTGATTATTTGAACATGTGTCCTACAGTTCTCAATATATTAAAATATTACAGAAACACCTATACCATGAATCTTGTAGGTGAAGATAGAAGAGAGAGAGAGAGAGAGAGCCATGCATGCAAATCCATGCATTGATGATAACGATATGTATATTGGGGCACGTCACCTTATGCACTCGAAATTTGCAGTTGAACAGAAGTAGTTGAGATGTAGTTGGCCTTTACCCTAGCTAGGGTAAACAAGATAGTGTTAAACCAAAAACGGCAAAAACCCCTTTCCGCTCATTTAATTCAACCCTAAGCAAACATCTCTCTCTCTCTCTCTCTCTGTTCGTGTGCGTCAGTCCAACTTCTTCTCACCTTCCACCACCTTGCTAGAGAAGACTTAATGCATCAAACATTCTCTCTTCCTTTCTCATCATTAGTTTGATTATTGACCACTAATTATAATCAAAACACTTCTATTAATTATAATGGAAGATCATCATCAACAGCATAATCCACCTCCATTAACCTCCCAATCGCTGCCCTTGTCATTACCATTCTTGTTACCGCCTCCACCCCAAAACCCTCGTCCCCCTTCTCCCTATCTCTTCACATCCTCTTCATCCTCCTCATTGATGACTAACCCTCCCGATCTTCTAGACATTGATTGGGTTAGCCTTCTCTCTGGTGGTACTCAAGCGGCAGGCGGGTTTAATCATGATCAGATTAATAGTTTTAAGCCTATGGCTATGATGGACAATAATATTAGTGGCTCTGCTTGGAATACTGGAGCTGATCAGGAAGAAAAGGTTGGTGTTAAAAGGAAGGGTGGGGGTAAAATGAGAAAAGCAGCGGCGAGCCGGCCTAGGTTTGCGTTTCAGACTCGGAGTGAGGATGATATTCTTGATGATGGCTACCGCTGGAGAAAATACGGTCAGAAAGCAGTCAAGAACAGTTCATATCCCAGGTTTATTCATTATTTAATTACTTTGCAAATATTTATGAATATGAACACTTTGTTTATACCGTACATGTATTAATCTAGAGGGCTTTTGATATAAGTCCAATTAGACTAAAAATTAGACCTATTTCAAAAGTAAAAAATCACTAAAAATTGGACCTATTTCAAAAGATAGGTTATAAAATTGGACCTCTTTCAAATTTTCCCTTTATTTAATATTCTAGGGAACAGAATTTTGAAAATGATGGAGAGATTTTTCAGTGTGACGGGCACATGAGGTGGTACACCATGTGTTACTATACAAATGGTGGGATATGTGTGTTAAAAAGTTAATAACTTAAAAAATAAAATTTTCCTCAACTTACATAAAAACACATGGTGTACCATCCATGTTCTTGTCATAATAAAAATTTCTCAAAATGATGAATATTGGTTACTTAGCTGGCTTGTGAATCAAGAGAATCTGAGACGTAAAGGAATTATCATATGCATATATTCTTTTTAGTTGCTTAATTTGTCAGAACTTGTGAATTATTTCATATGAACATAGAGAATCAATTTATTTAGACAAAATGTTTAGAGAATTTATCAAATATAACAAAAAAATTAACCTTAATTTCAAAAATATCAGTTTTTATAAAAGACTAATTTATCAAATACCCTCACTAAATATGAATAACTAATTGTTAACTAAAAGACTTCTTGTGCTATAATCAAGTGTTGCTCTCACTAATATTTTCTTCTTTTTTTTCGTTTCTTTTCCAAACGAAGAACAAAGGTTTCTCTCAATTTTATATTTTAATAAAATAATCAAAGAAGCCTTGTGATCCTTAAATCTTTCTTCATATATGTAATATAGCACGAAAAAATAAATACGAAAAGGACTTTTTCATAATTCCAAGCTGCCCTTCGAGTACGATATTACATATGGTACTAGCTTTTTACAGTATTGAGAAAACCAGAAATGTTGAGTAAGACCAAAATTAAGGAAATTAACCAACAAAATTCTCATGCTAATTAATTAGGTTTTACCACAAAGAGAGGATTAAGAACATCGTAAAGAGCAAACAGATTAAGCACAAAGTAAAATATTGCTGCAAGAATGGCAGCAAGAGCTCTCACTAAAGTGTTTTGTGGGAACTATATATGCGAGAAAGAAAGGTTTTTTTTTATTATTATTTATTACAAAATAAAAATGAGAGAAACATTTGTTCTCCGTTTAGAAAAGAAATGAAAAAAAGAAAAAGAAAAAAAAATATTAGTGAGAGCAACTCTTGATTATTGCGCAAGAAGTATTTTAATTAGTGTAGATGATATCGTCTGTTCAAAAAAAAAAAAAAAACTAGTTATACATATAAACTAAGGTATTTATGTCTATATAAGTGGAATTTGGATGTATTTTAAAGGTTTTTACTATATTTGATAAATACCTTCATCATCCTCATTAAATTGTAAAAAATAAAAATAAAAACCCAATTGTTTACATGACTCGGGTTTGTCTATAGCAAAACTTTTTCTAAGCCTGACCCAAGGAGGAAATTTAGTACGTGAATATTTTACATTTGGACTCAGAAATTATGATCATATAATTCTGACAAAAAGTATATTTTTAGCAGAAAATACAATTATAACAAAGCATTTTTCCCACATAAAAAAAAAAGAGCTCCCAAATCATTTAAAATGCTAATATTAATACAAATTTGTTTAGGGAAATTAAACTAATTTACCATATAGAAGAAACCATATTGAACCTAGTCATATATATAGACCTTACGTATTCTAGCTAGCAACCTTTGAGGTGTTTAGCTAGCAATTTGAATCCAAAAACTCTTGTAGTTATTTGGTTATCTGTATTATATGGGATATAACCCTCCAAATATATAAATGTGTGACAATATATACGTACCGAATGATTCAGAATTTTATATGTTACTGTAATTAATTTTTTCTCCATCTAAGCACAATGATACTATCAGGGTATTAGTTAGTGTTCTTCATTCCATTGTGTCGAGTTTAAAATATCTCCTCTATGCTTCATTTTAAACATATGGCCATTACTTATGAATTGTAGGAGCTACTACCGCTGCACACATCACACATGCAATGTGAAAAAACAGGTCCAGAGGCTGTCTAAAGACACGAGCATTGTCGTGACAACGTATGAAGGAATCCACAATCATCCTTGCGAGAAACTCATGGAAACCCTAACTCCTCTACTGAAGCAAATGCAATTCCTCTCTAGGTTCTAATTAACAAGGTCACTATATATCATCTTTCATTGGCATTTGTACTTATATATTAACCTTTGTGCACAAGGTAGGGAGAGATTTGTAGTTCAAAAGTGGGTTAAGAAAGTCTACCTTACGCCCGAGTCATGTGTTCGAGACCCCTTCTCTTAATATCTTCTTGTAAAAAAAAAAAAAAAATTGTACACGTTAACTATGACTATGTGATAAGAAAAAGAAATTAAATATAAAAATTAATGTACCAAAATCTTTGTTAGTATATGTTATGCATTAAGCTTTAATAGTTTATATATTTTGTTACTATATATATATGTTTAGACTCCTTATTGATTTTTAAATGATATGCGTGTGAATGGTGTTCCACTCGTAACTGGGAGGTCTCAAGTTAAAGTTTCATGAATGACGAGTTTAAAACCTAATTATAACTTGCGTATTGGCAGGTTGTAAAAAAAAAAATACAATACAAAAGAAATGTTAGGATTTTGGTTGTCAATGGGACATAAAGCCAAGGCTAAATGATCCCAACTATATCAGCAATCAAAAGAGATTGACAAGATGGAGGAGCTTGCTAAAAAAAGAATGGACCTAAACCCAAACGAGTCAATTCATCAACAACAAAATTTATTTTTTGATAAATAATATGCCGAATTTTAAAGGACCAACTATGGTGTATAAATCATGACAATTTAAAACCAAACTTCCAAAGGTTGATTATCAACTTTATCATTTAGAATCAAGTCTACATCAAGGGCAGAATTAGATTCAACCAAAATATTCTTAAATCCCTTACTCTGCGCAAGTTGCAAAACAACCCCAAATAATGTTAGGCACGGGCCAGGCCGGGCCCAATTTTGAAGAGACTGGACCGGACCCGGGCTTAAAAGAAACGGGTCGGGTACAACAAATTCTAATATAGGAACCGAATCTAACCCAGCCTATTTCACACGAGTCGATTTGGGCCGGGTCTATGGGTTTTTTTTTTCCTTCCTTTTCTTCTTTAGCTCTCTTGAATCTCGATCGTTCCAGGAGATGCCGGACCACCACCTTCTCCTACAACGAGACCAAGACCAATTTTGGCGACCTCGTCGTTTACCCAAAGCTTGATTTCCCGCGATTCTTGTCGTTTATGAGCCACAAGATCGGAATCTTGCCGGTGTGGTTCACTGTTTTCCTATCCTCGTCGGAGACTTGCCAATGAATCCCCATCACTGGCAAGGTCAACTTCAGCGCGATTTCTCACATTGGATGGCCGCCGTTACTCCGTTGCACCTCAACACTGCTGCTGCCTGACTTGTGTGTGTCCAGTTTCGACTGAGACCTTGACCAACCACCATTTCGCGCCTATCTTGAACCTTTGTTGCTGCTTGCTGCAGCGTCCTGATGAATTTTCCACCCAGATTGTCATCCCATAGTGCCTATTTGAAGCCTGTATTCAATACTCGTTACTCCCTTCTGTCACATCTTTTCCGTTCAGCCCAGAACCTGCATCGACAAACACCGCACCAGGTGGATTATGGGATTTAATCAATGGTGGACATTAAATCTCTACATATTGGACGATAGATACGGTCTAAAGCTAGGGCCCTATTTTCTTAGCAATTTGGACTCGCCCCGCCCCGCAAGTAACATAGAACCGCCCCATCCTGCCTTGTTTTAGATTTATCCAAATTAGACCCGCCCCATCATTACTACAAAAGTGGCTTATTTGTGTCGGTGGCTAGTGTCGGTTTTATATAAAATACTGGCTGATAAGACATTTTCGACACCCTTCTTACATGGTGTCAAAATTACTATTGGGTATAAGTGACATAAATTGTCTATGTCGCTTGTAAATGACATAGACTGTTAATGTTGCTTATAACCGATATTTGTACCATACTTGACCAATCTCGAAACTACTGAGCACCAATCAACGTTATACCGTCAAGGACCTAGAAGAGTTTCCCTCCAACCAGGAGGCTAATCACAGCGTGACACATGTCGACATCAGAAGTCAATCATAACGCGACACGTGTCAACATCAGAAGCCAATCACAACACGACACTTGTTAATGTCAGAATGAAACTAGAAACTCTCTTCTATAAATAAAGATCATTCTCTCACAATATTTCCTAATGTCATTTGTACTAAATCATTCACTAGTACTCACTAAAGGAGAGCTTGAACCTATGTACTTGTGTAAACCCTTCACAATTAATGAGAACTCCTCTACTTCGTGGACGTAGCCAATTTGGATGAACCACGTACATCTTGTGTTTGCTTCCCTGTCCCTATCCATTTACTTACTTATCCACACTAGTGACCGGAGCAATCTAGCGAAGGTCACAAACTTAACAATTTCTGTTGTACCAGAGTCCTTACTGATTTTGTGCATCAACATTTGGCACCGTCTGTGGAAACGACACTTATTCCCACTTTCTTCAGCTTTCTTAAGGTGGTTTCCACCATTCGTACACTCTCTTTTGACTAGGCATCCCTCTCCAACATAGGGAGCGAAGGAAGCCACAACACGCAGAATGACACCCCTCTTGCACTTGGTGCGAGGCAACGAAAAAAGGAAAGAAAGAGGGTTGCTCTTCAAGCTAAAGTCGATGAGTTAGAAGCTCAGAACAACAAGATAGCAATGAAGAATGAAGTCCTCTAGGAGCAGTATGAGAAGCTCTTTGAGACGCTCAATGAAACTAGGCGTACTTAAACACGCGAACTCGTTACCCCTGTGGACATCAACCATCATCTGGGTGCTACCCAACACGGAGGGTCACCTTCATTCGACATGGGTATCCTTGATGAGGAGCGAGCTAATCATCAAAACATTGATTAACATGAGACTTCTCTCAACCCAGCTGCTTCGACCCGAAGCAGAAGAAGTGGAGGAAGACACCTACTCAAACACGCGAGCTTGTTACCTCTGTGGACATCAACCATCATCTGGGTGCCGCCCAACATGGAGGGTCACCTTCATTCGACATGGGTATCCTTGATGAGGAGCGAGCTAATCATCAGAACATTGATTAACATGAGACTTCTCTCAACCCAGCTGCTTCCACCCGAAGTAGGAGAAGTGGGGGAAGACACATTCTTACAGAAGGAGTGGAAGGATCGAAAGCCATCTTTCGCGACTGTCGAGATTTCCTAAAGCAACGTCGAGACAATCCCATCTATGTAAACTAAAAAATTAATGACTCAATGGTCTCTGAAAGACTCAGTCCCCTCTCATGTCCCAGACCAGCTACCAATTTGGGGAAGGGGCAACAAGTCCTAGAGAAACACGAAGGTATAGGGGACTCAGAGATGTTCCGACAAACATACCTTGGAAGTTAGTACGACAAGTCCAGGGAAAAATCACATGCTCTTGATCAAACCTTCATACTTCTAAAAGGAGATGGAAATTTACGAAAGAAAGCTCCAGTGGTACATGACTCCACTCAAGACCCTCTTGTCCTACAGCTTCTTAAGGAAGTAAACAAGTTGAAGGTCGAACGACAAGCTGAGATACCTGATTAGAACCAATTTAGGCTTGGCCCTTTTACAAGGAGGATCCTCGACACCCCTTCTAAGCAAAGACAAAGCAGAAGCTTGGCTTGCAACTCTATACTGGAAAGGAGGACCCGATCGAACACCTTAACCTTTTTGAGTTCACCATGGCATACCGGATGCACACTAACGAAGAGTGATGTCTTCTCTTCCCCTCTACCCTCTCTGGTGAAGCTCTAAACTGTTATTGCCGTCTTCCACCTGAGACGGTAGACTTATTTGAGGAATTGAGGAAACTGTTTGTTTCTCAACATATTTTCCAGACCGATCGCTTGCACTCTGCGGATGACTTGTACATTATTCGCCAGAAGCCAGACGAGTCATTACGTATGTATGCTGGCCGCTTCAGCCATGAGTATTCCCGTTGTGCCGAGGCAGACGACAATACTGCCCTCAAAGCCTTCACGGCAGGCCTACGTGACTATTTCTTTAAGTATATGATCAATGCCAACACTTGGAAGACTTACTCTGAGGTGATGGCACATGCTTACAACCATGCCTCCGTCGAGGCAATGACATATCAAGGGAAACCGCCCACAACCACCCCTTATCAGCAAGTAGGGAGTGGAAGCCAGATCCAACCAAATGAGAAGACCTCGATCTTCCAAACGGCAGCGGTTCATCCCCCTGCCTTACTTAATACTTCACCAAGTCAACAGACATATCAACCTCAGGGCAAAAGGAAAGATTTCCATCCTCACCAGTCTCATTTTAGTAAAAGAAGTAAAGGACATTATTGCGATAACCAAGGGTATCACCACAATAATCACCGTCCCCAGGCAGTCAACACAGTGGGCCAAGCACGTGTTAGGACATGCCCTACCCTGAGGTATGAGACATACACACCTTTGAACGCCACATGCGTGGCCATTTACCTTAGCATAACACACCTGATACTTAATCCAATGCCGAGGCAATTGAGTTACAAGCCTACGAAGAACGCAGTCACGTTTTGCTGCTACCACGAGCATAACGGCCATGATGGCTAGAAGTGTATCACCCTTCATGATTATATTGAAGCTTTGGCGCGTGAAGGAAAAATTGATCAATTCCTCATTCACCCTTCAATGGATAACCGTAACCAACGCCAAGTGAATGTGATATATTCCATAAGCGGCGGCACACCCATATCTGAATCTTCCAACAGAGCCATGAAAAACAGCGAACGACCTTTAAGGCCTGGTCACCAAGTGTTTCACGTGGAAGATATCAGGGGAGGCAAGTATCAAAAGCCTAATTGGGATCTAATATGTTTCTACCCTAAGGAAGAAAGGGGTATCATATACCCTCACAATAACCCACTGATCGTGGTAGCTCATATAGCCAACTTTGAAGTACGACGAATCCTGGTAGACACGGGGGCTTCGGTCAATATCATGTTTGCTGAAGTTTTCAGGGCACTTAATGTAGCTGAACACTTGCTCGATCGCTCGATTTCTCTTTTGATAAGCTTTTTTGGTGATATAGTGCAACCTTTGGGGAGTATACACTTACCTTTCACCATTGGTATAGGCCCTTATATAGCTACCATTACCACTAACTTCCTGGTAGTTGATTGCCCAACCGCATACAATGTCATCTTGGGACGCACAGGCATCAATGATCTCAAGGCCATGGTATCCACACATATGTTGTTGATGAAATTTCCAACCCCCTATGGCAATGGTTACATCAGAGGAGATCAACTTAGTGCACGATCATGTTACAACACTTTGGTCAAGCAAAATCATCTG